CTCCTCTCTAGAGATTCCTCTCTGGAACTTCCCTGTTGCTTGGGGAAGCGGGGGGCATGAAAAGAGGGAGATCCCTGACTAAGAAGAAAGACACTCCCCTGCCGAAGAACTTTTTGAAGAACTTGGGAAAGTACTGTTCATTCCAGGCCCGGACTGGGCCAGGCAAGGAACAAGCAGTGGCAGAAACTGGGATGAGTCACTGCAAAATTCCTGAGTTAACCAGTCCGGCATGAGTGCAGAGTGGGAACTGTACCGGGAAAGGCTTCCCCTGATGAACTTCTGCCCGCCCTTAAAAAGAAAAGCGTCCTGCAAGCAGTGTTCCCTCTAAGCTGTGGAGTCGTGTGAGCTAGCTCGTTGCTTTTTGGCCTCCGGCTCCTACATTTTTGTTTTAGCTCGGGAAGGAGGGCTCCCGAGCAAACTGATTCATGCAGCAGCCAAATGGCTCGCTCACAACTTTCATGCCAGTCACTCACAAAGTGGGATTTTTGCTCACACGACTCCACAGCTTAGAGGGAGCATTGCCTGTCAGTGAAAAGAAAGGGTGACTGATCTGGAACCTTCGTATTCAGCTCAAACGCAGTGTTTAAAATTGAACCGTGCAGCCCAGAGTATCACGGGAAGCGCCTTGTTATAACTGGAACGGCAGACTTGAGATTTAGCTGATTATTTCCGATTGAACGTTTCCCAAGTCCCTCGGCCTTTCCTCGTAGGGTTTCTTGGACTCCAGGCCCCCGATCATCCTCGTCGCTCTCCTCTGCACCCGCTCCATTCGGTCCACATCCTTTTTGAAGGGAGGCCGCCTGAACTGCACACAAAAGCCCAGGTGTGGCCTGACCAATGGATTGGTTTGCACTAGAGTGCTTAGCAGGGCTCTTTGTGTAGAAAAAGCCCAGCAGGAACTCATTAGCATAATAGGCCACACCCAACAGCAGAAACTCATTAGCATATTAGGCCACACCCCTGACCGCACAGCTCATTAGCACATTAGGCCGCACCCCCATGTTACCAGAAGTGTGGTCATCCAGCCACACCCACCTTTTGCTTGTTATTCTGTTTACCTTGTTTGTTGTCAAAACCCAGAGCTTTTTTTGTAGCAGGAACTCCTTTGCATGTTAGGCCACACACCCCTAATGTAGCCAATCCGAATGAGTTTCTGCTGTTGGGTGTGGCCTATTATGCTAATGAGTCCCTGCTGGGCGTGGCCAACCTTGGAGCCAGCCGGAACTCCATTCCTGTGCGTTCCTGCCAAAAAAGAGCCCTGGTGCTTAGCAATAGCCTCATGCCTTGAACACCAAGTGTTTGTGCCTTTAATTGGAACTTCCATGTCTAGGAGTCGTCTACCTCTGAGGGCCAGGTGATGGGAGGGGTCATCCCTTGCTGCACTGTTCACATGCTTCCCAGAGGTATCTGGCTCACCGCTAATGCAAACAGGATACCGGACCAGGCGGAGCGAGCAAAGAAATCCATATCGGCACAGACATCTCGATCACCAGCTATTCTAGATGACATCATTAAAAATATATATTTATTTAAAATATTTGTGTTTGTATATTTAGTTAAAATATTTGCATTTTCCCTTTGATTCCCAGAGGTCTCAAGACGGCTTAGAGGGCCAGTTTGGTGCAGTGGTTAGGAGCGCGGACTCTGATCTGGGAGAGCCGGGTTTGATTCCCCACTCCTCAACTTGCACCTGCTGGATGACCTCGGGCAAGCCGTAGTTCTGATAAGAGCTGTTCTTGAAAAAGAGCCGTTTCTGTCAAGAGCTCTCTCAGCCCCACCCACCTCACAGGGTGTCTGTTGTGGGGAGGGGAAGGGAAAGGAGTTTGTAAGCCGCTCTGAGACGCCTTTGGGTAGTGAAGGGTGGGGTATAAGTCCAGTCTCCTCCTCCTCCTCTTCTTCCCCTATGTGTATGAATCAGGGCCAGTTTGGTGTAGTAGTTAGGAGCGCGGACTCTGGTCTGGGAGAACCGGGTTTGATTCCCCACTCCTTCTCCACATGCAGCTGCTGGCGTGACCTCAGATTAGTCACAAGTTCCTTCAGAGCTGTTCTCTCAAGGGCAGTTCTCTCAGGAGTTCTCTCAGCCCCACCTACCACATAGGGTGTCTGTTGTGGGGAGAGCAAGGGACTCTTGAGACTCCTTCGGGTAGGGAATTGTGGGGTATAAATCCTCCTCCTCTTCCTCCTCCTCTTCTTCGTCTTCCAAGTGTGCCAACAGGATCAAAAATGGTATTAAAAGCCAGCCAATCTTAAAGCACCCAACAGCAGAAGTCAAAGGAATTGCCTGTAGCACCCTCATTACAAAACATACAGCCTTCATCTTTACCAGAGAGTCTGTACAAATCAGCAAAAAGCTCTCCGGAATACTCTCTGGAACGCTTTATAATCCACAACAACCCTGTGAGGTAGGACAGACTAGAGAGAATGTTCAGCCCAAGGTCACCAAGTGAGTTTTCTAGCCGAGTGGGCATTTGAATTCAGGTCTCCCTGTTTTTAGTCCAACACTCCAACTGCCACAATATGCTTACAGTTGCCAATTTGCAGGTGGGGCCTGGGGAGCTCCCAGAATTCTAACTGATCTCCAGACAGTTTGGTGTAGTGGTCAGGAGCATGGACTCTACTCTGGGAGAACCGGGTTTGATTCCCCACTCCTCCACATGCAGCTGCTGGTGTGACCTTGGGCCACTTGCAAGTTCCCTCAGAGCTGTTCTCTCAAGGGCAGTCCTCGAGAGAGCTCTCTCAGCCCCACCTACCTCACAGGGTGTCTGTTGTGGGGAGGGGAAGGGGAAGGAGACTGTGAGCCACTCTGAGACTCCTTTGGGTAGTGAAGGGTGGAGTATAAATCCATATGCAGCTGCTAGTGTGACCTTGGGTCAATCACAAGTTCTCTAAAGGGCCGTTCTGTCAAGAGCTCTCTCAGCCCCGCCTACCTCACAGGGTGTCTGTTGTGGGGAGGGGAAGGGGAAGGGGAAGGAGACTGTGAGCCACTCTGAGACTCCTTTGGGTAGTGAAGGGTGGGGTATCAACCCAATCCCCTCCTCTTCCTCCTCCTCTTCTTCTTCTTCTGACATGAGTTTACCTAGAGAAAATGGCTGTTTGGGAGGTCGGACTTGATGATATTGTATCCTTCTGACGTCCCTCCCCTCCACAAACTCCACCCTCTCCAGTTTCCACTCCCAAATCTCCTGGAATTTAGCAATCTAGAGTTGACAACCCGATGCTGGATGTCTGAGCTCTTACTGACCTATTTGGGTGCCATGCTCTGGCAGAAGAGGTTTGCCAAAAGTTGCTTTCTGCCACACAAGTCCAAAATCAAAATCCAAAAAAACACCACGAAACAGGCTTTTCTTGGGGCCAGTGCGCCAGCTTCCAAATGCTCCAGGGCTCTTCCCCCCCAGGCTGAAGTTTACAAAATAAAAAAGACGGCAGGGGGAAGTTTCAGGCCTTGAGTCTGAGGCCTTTTCTTGGCAGCATTCCCCTGCTTAAGGCCAAGAAATCAAGGAAATGATATAATGCGGCGGCAGCGGTGTCAGGTTGCCCCCGATTTCCTGTGAACAGGGAACAAGAAATGGTGTCTGGGCCTGGAATGCTGAAGTCTGACTGTTAACCAGTTTGGTACAGTGGCTGGGAGCGCGGACTCTAATCTGGGAGAACCTGGGTTTGATTCCCCCACTCCTTCCACATGCAGCTGCTGGGGTGACCTTGGGTCAGCCACAAGTTCTTTCAGAGCTGTTCTCTCAAGGGCAGTTCTCGAGAGAGCTCTCTCAGAGCCACCTGCCTCACAGGGGCGTCTGTTGTGGGGAGAGGAAGGGAAAGGAGATTATAAACCGCTCTGAGACTCCTTCGGGTAGTGAAGGGCGGGGTATAAATCCAATCTCCTCCTCCTCCTTCTTCTTCTTCCTCCCCCCCCCCCAAGGGGTAGCACAAAAGGTAAAGGTAAAGGTTCCCTTGCTCGAAAGCCAGTCAAGTCCGACTCTAGAGTTGTGGTGCTCATCTCAGTTTCCAAGCCGAAGTGCCAGCGCTGTCCGAAGACGTTTCCGTGGCCATGTGGCTGGCATGACTAAACACCAAGTCGTACGGAACGCTGTTCCCTTCCCACTGAAGTGGTACCTATTTATCTACTTGCAATTTCTTGCTTTTGAACTGCTAGGTTGGCAGGAGCTGTAAGTAGAGATGGGAGCTCACTCCGTCCTGCGGCACCCGGGTCTCGAACTGCTGAGCTACCGACCTTCCACAGCCTGCAGTTCAGCGTCTTAACCAGTTGAGCCACCGCAGCACAAAAAGACGCTGATGGATAGGGTTGCCAGATCTAGGTTGGGAAAGACCCAGGGATTTTGGAACCTAAGGAGGGCAGGGTTTGGGGAGACGAGGGACTTCAATGGGGTATAATACCACAGCGCCCAGTCCACCTTCCCAGTCCGCCATTTTCTTCAGGAGAACTGATCTCTGTCGCCTGGAGATCAGTTGTCATCCCAGGAGATCTCCAGCCACCGCCTGGAGGTTGGCAACACTATTGACAGAGCCTCCAGGTGCAGAGGCAGTATATCCCTGAATCAAGTACGTTAGCAAAACAGTGGGAAGGCCTTCCCCATTCACGCCTTCCTTGTGAACTCCCAGTTTCCAGTGGTTTGGGCTACCCGCCGTCGGAAACAGGACTCCGGGCCTCATCGCCCTGGGTTCCGATCCAGCCGGACTGTTCGCACGTTCCTGCCCTCTTCCCGGCTGCCCGCCGAGCAGAAATCCAACAGTTTCCCACTCGCCGCATCCTCCCGCCGGCGTCGCTTCGCCAGTTGGATTTCCGCCTGTGGTGTAACCGCAGTGGCCCTGCCAGGAAAAAAGAACAGTGAGAAATTAGAGGCCTGGGAAAGAAAAGCAAACTTCTCTCCCCCCCTCCCCAGCACATTCCTGAGTGAGGGTGGGGCTTGAGTTCTCCAAACAGGCAAGTCCAGCTTTGTCCTGAAGGAGGGGAGGAAAGGGGGGAAGTGGTTGCTAAACCAGGCAAGAGGGAGGGCGTTGGCTGGGCCGGGGAGGGGAGGGGCGAGCCCTCACCTCCCCTGAAATCCATTGCTCACAGTCAGCCCGCCAGCCCACAGCAGCCGTGGTCCACCTCGCCCTCTCTCCGCAGACATGGTAAGTTGACGCCTGTTTGGCACCCTGATCTCAGGGCTCCCAAACCCTGCACATTAATGCACAGGAGGAGAAAACTTCCTTTCCGCCCCTTGTGTTTCCCTCCTCCCCAGAGCACTCCACAGAGAAAACAAGCTCTGGAAAAAAACATAGTTTCCATTCAGTGGAGGCACTAATGGGGAACAACGGGAGGGGATTTTGGCAGCTGAGCGCATGGGGCATGTGCCAAGGGTGAAGTCACTGTCTCCACATGGGGGGAAATGAAGGGCGGAAGCCTGGGAAGGTGGGATGTGGGGGAGGTGGGATGTGGGGCCGGACAACACCGGTGAGGCCAAGTGGGTGGGCGCCACGAATTCAGAATTTTCGGGGCAACAAATATTCGTGGCAGGCACACCGATGTTCGTTTCGGCGAACATGTGAAGGGAAGATTCATGGTTATAAGCTCATGTTCTACGTGCACCCAGATGGCCACGGCCAATCAGGACTCCACAGTATGTGGCCACTGTGCGTCTTCCCTTCTCTGGGGTTCAGAAAACGTGTGGCTCTCGTTCACACTGAAACTTGGCAACCGCAGCCGCTGCGCATAACGGAAGTCCCAGCTGGCTCTGTGGGGAAATGGAGTCAGTTTTTTTAAATCTCATTTTACTGTCTTAGTTCAGATTCTGAATCCATGCGGCAAACACGGGGTCCCGGGCAGGCGGTTCAGTGCGCTTCTGCATCTCAAGGGAGGGCCCGGAGAAGGGTGTGGCTGCATGAGGGGCCATTTTGGAGCCCCTGAACCCGCAGGGCACAACGCGCGCACTCACACATCTGTAGGCTCTGCAGATGTGGTTAGAGGAGTCGAGGGCCCAGCAGAGAAACATGACTCCTTGGAAAGGGTCAGGGCATCCTAGGAGAGCTATCTTGGCTAACATTCTGTAGGAGAAACCGTTTATGATACAGACCGGGAACAGGGGAAACACTACCTGTGGGATTCCGCCTGTCATGTAGCTATCAAAGGCTGTCTTGGCTAAAGTTCAATAGGTGAAGCCTTTCTGACATGGACAGGAGAAACACTACCTGTGGGATTCCCCGTCGTGCAGCTATCAAAGGCCATCTTCACTAAAGTTCAATAGGTGGAGCCTTTCTGACAGGGAGGCAATACCTGTGGAATTTCTGACTGCCGTGCCTCTGTCAAAGGCGTGAGAGCCAGACCAGAAAGGGGAGTTAATGATCTAGCCCACTTGGACGACTTCTATTGTATAAGTATTCTTCACTGGGGGCTCCTGACGAGAGTTGCCAGTATTTGTACTGGCCACTGCTCCTGTGCCTTTAGTCCCAGCTCAGTCTGGTAATGCACACGCGGTCCATGATTTCCGAACATTAAGCTACTATTAAAGGCAACAGAGCAGAACAGAGCAGCTTATTTCCTCCACGTAGGCTGGTTTTAGGCGTAGTCAACTTTTTTTCTTTGCGGTCACATTGGAGTCAAAATGCTAAAATGCTAGAACTCGAGGGCATCCAAGGAAGCTGACGGGCAGTAGGTTCAGGGCGGACAAAAGGAAATACTACTTTACACAGAGAGTGATGAAAATGCGGAACTCGCTGCCAGAGGATATAGTGGGGGCCTCAGGAGTAAACAGCTTTAAAAGGGGATGAGATAGACTCATAGAGAAGTCTCTCAGTGGCTACTAGCCATGGTGACTGAGGGGAACCTCCATATTCAAAGGCACTAAACTGCCGAATCCCAGAGCCAGGAGGCAACATCAGGGGAAGGCCTCGGCCTCTCTGCCCGGTTCTTGGCCCTTCCAGAGGAAGTGGTTGGCCACTGTGCGAGTCAGGAGGCTGGACTAGATGGACCCTCACTGGTCTGATCCAGCTGGGCCCTTCTGGTGTTCTTCTCAGGGGAAGGCCTCGGCCTCTCTGCCCGGTTCTTGGCCCTTCCAGAGGAAGTGGTTGGCCACTGTGCGAGTCAGGAGGCTGGACTAGATGGACCCTCACTGGTCTGATCCAGCTGGGCCCTTCTGGTGTTCTTCTCAGGGGAAGGCCTCGGCCTCTCTGCCCGGTTCTTGGCCCTTCCAGAGGAAGTGGTTGGCCACTGTGCGAGTCAGGAGGCTGGACTAGATGGACCCTCACTGGTCTGATCCAGCTGGGCCCTTCTGGTGTTCTTCTCAGGGGAAGGCCTCGGCCTCTCTGCCCGGTTCTTGGCCCTTCCAGAGGAAGTGGTTGGCCACTGTGCGAGTCAGGAGGCTGGACTAGATGGACCCTCACTGGTCTGATCCAGCTGGGCCCTTCTGGTGTTCTTCTCAGGGGAAGGCCTCGGCCTCTCTGCCCGGTTCTTGGCCCTTCCAGAGGAAGTGGTTGGCCACTGTGCGAGTCAGGAGGCTGGACTAGATGGACCCTCACTGGTCTGATCCAGCTGGGCCCTTCTGGTGTTCTTCTCAGGGGAAGGCCTCGGCCTCTCTGCCCGGTTCTTGGCCCTTCCAGAGGAAGTGGTTGGCCACTGTGCGAGTCAGGAGGCTGGACTAGATGGACCCTCACTGGTCTGATCCAGCTGGGCCCTTCTGGTGTTCTTCTCAGGGGAAGGCCTCGGCCCCTCGGCCATGTTGCTGGCCCTCCAGAGGAACCGGTTGAGGCCACTGTGTGGGACAGGATGCTGGACTAGATGGACTATTGGCCTGATCCAGCAGGGCTCTTCTGGGGTTCTTCTCAGGGGAAGGCCTCGGCCTCTCTGCCCTGTTGTTGGCCCTCCAGAGGAACTGGTTGGCCCCTGTGTGAGACAGGAGGCTGGACTGGATGGCCCCTCACTGGTCTGATCCAGCAGGGCTCTTCCGGTGTTCTTATGACCCTGCTTAGCTTCTGAGATCTGATGAGATCGGGCTAGGCTCAGCCACCTGGGTCAGGGCCGTGGTCAACCCGCAGCCCCGTTTCTACCCGGCGTGGAAGTCTTTTCCTTCCAGCCCTGCAGCTTGGACCGAGCTGCTGGGCCAGATCCATGCCCCACCCTCCTGTAGACTCTGACCAGCCAACTCCAACCTCCACCCCCCTCCGGGGGGGGCTGATTCTGCATTGGCCAGAACCCTCCTCCCTCGTTCCCCAGATGCTCCACTGCTGAGTCATGAGGAAACTGGGTTACAAAGGCCCTGGAATGCAAGGGGAAGCTCAGACCTGACATCTGTTTGCAGCCCCCCCAAAAAGGACAGGTTCTGTGGATTTCCAGAAAAGATTAGCAGCAGCAGCCACAGGGAAGGGCTTGGGCCCAGTGCTCCCTCTAAGCCGAGTTAGCGTGAGCTAGCTTGCAGGTTTTTAAGCCTCCGGCTCACACGTTTTTGCCTTCGCTCAGGAAGAAGAAGAAGAAGAAGAAGAAGAGATTGGATTTATACCCCACCCTTCACTTGGAGTCTCAGAGCGGCTTACAAACTCCTTTCCCTCCCCCTCCCCACAACAGGCACCCTGTGAGGTGGGTGGGGCTGAGAGAGCTCTGACACAAACTGCTCTTTTTCAAGGACAGCTGTGCCAGAGCTTGTGACTGACCCAAGGTCACATCAGCAGGTGCAAGTGGAGGAGTGGGGAATCAAACCCGGTTCTCCCAGATTAGAGTCCGCACACTTAACCACTACACCAAACTGGCTCCCGAGCAAACTAATCTATGCAGAAGGGATGGCTCCCGAGCAAACTAATCTGCGCAGCAGCCAAATCGCTCTCGCACAACTTGAATGCCTGTAGCTCACAAAGTAGAATTTTTGCTCAGGACTCCGCAGCTTAGAGGGAGCATTGCTTGGGCCCAGGACGCACGCCTCATCCCCGGGCCTGCATTATGGCAGCGTCGCAGCCTGACCATTCGTGCATACCAGTCTGTGCCTTTCTAGGACTGCTAGATGTGCTTTGAGTGGGGCGACTGGGCATTTAACGGCGGCGCGGCAGGCAGCCCTGACGTGGTTAGTCCGGCGTAGCCTGATCTCATCAGATCTTGGAAGCTAAACTGCGTTGGCCCTGGTCAGTGATAATTATATAGCCAGGAGAGCCTAAGATTGTCTGGCAGTCAGAAGTTCTAGCTCTTTTAGTGTCATGCAACAGTAGGTGGCGAGCTGGACTTGTTTCTTTTTTAAGGCAAGAGACGTTTCAGAGGTGGGTTTGCCATTGCCTGCCTCTGCATAGCAACCCTGGACTTCCTTGCTGGTCTCCCATCCAAATACTAGCCAGGGCCGACCCTGCTTCGCTTCTAAGATCTGAAGAGATCGGTCTAGCCTGGGCTATCCAGGTCAGGGCCCTGGTTAGTGCCGGGATGGGAGATCACTAAGGAAGTCCAGGGTTGTCATGCAGAGAACGTCTCTTGAGAGTCAGTCTGGTGTAATGGTTAGGAGCATGGACTGGGAGAACCGGGTTCGATTCCCTGCTCCTCCACATTCAGCTGCTGGTGTGACCTTGGGTCAGTCACAAGTTCTCTCAGAGCTGCCCTCTCAAGGGCAGTCCTCGAAAGAGCTCTCTCAGCCCCACCGACCTCACAGGCAGTGTTCCCTCTAAGCTGAGTTAGTGTGAGCTAGCTCACAGTTTTTTAGCCTCTGGCTCACACATTTTTGTCTTAACTCAGGAAGGAGGGCTCCAGAGCAAACTAATTTATGCAGTAGCCAAATTACTTGCTCATAACTTTAATGCCAGTAGCTCACAAAGTAGAATTTGTGCTCACAGGACTCCATAGCTTAGAGGGAACATTGCTCACAGGGTGTCTGTTTTGGGGAGGGGAAGGGAGAGGAGATTGTAAGCCACTCTGATGCTCCTTTGGGTAATGATGGGCGGGGTATAAATCCAATCTCCTCCTCCTCCTCCTCCTCCTCTTCTTCTTCTTCCCTGGACCTGGATGGCCCAGGGTAGCCCAGTCTCATCAGATCCAAAGCTAAGCAGGCTACTTCGATGGGAGATGATCAAGGAAGTCCAGGGTTGATACACAGAGGCGGGCAGTGGCAAACCGTCTCTGCTCATCCCTTGCCATGAAAACCCTATGGAGTTGCCATCATTCACTCTGA